CAGCAGAGAAACCCACGGTTTCAAATCCCAGCAGCAGAAGCCTCCTCCTACCAAACCGAGGAGGAAGGGTCTGTGTTTCTAATTTATTCTGCACCCCCTCCAGTTGTTACTTAAAATAATCCATCATTACATGGCTGGTGGCTCCAAGGTTTTTATTTAAAGCAATATGAAGAAGAAAAAAAAGAAAACCCACACAACCCGTGACTGTGCTATCTTGGATTTAAGTTGAGAATCTTTTTAACATCAGAGAGCCTCCAAATCACCCAAGTATACGCTTCTCTGGCCCCCCTGGGGGGGTGATGGGGGAGTACAGTGAGAAGAGGAGGAAGAGAGGGCATGGCAGGATATTAATTTCTTAGAAACATCATGAAAAGAACAGTGTTTTTAAAAACAGAATCTGTGCCATCGGGTAGGTGTTTCATTGTGTCCTCCACTGACCAACAATAACACTTTGGACTAAGGTACTTGGTCTCCCTGCACCCATAAAATGACAACAATAACACTTTCCAGGAAGCTGCTGGAGAAAATGAAGTTATACAGATGGAAGCATTTTGAGATAGTTCAAAGAAACATGTTACATCTGTCCATGGTCTGTCTTCCTTCCTTCCTTCCTCCCTCCCTCCCTCTCTCCATTCTTTCTTTCCTTCTCCCCCTCCCCCCCTTTCCTTTTTTTCTTTTTCTTTTCTTTCTTTTCATTTGTCTTGAAGGTGGTTTTAATGAACATGCAACTAAAAGTCCTTCTGAATTGTTCATTCTAGTATTAAACTATGGCTCTGATCATCCAGTAACCCAGGCAAGTCCAGAAATCAGTCCTATTTAGTTTTGGAATACCTTTTTCCAGGGGACTTATCTTCCTAATTAGTTTTGCTCAGGCTAATGCAATGGGTTTGTTCCCTTATAACACACAAAGGCAGGGGCCGCACTGGGCAACAAAGCCAGCAATTAATAGAAAATTTACAGCAGAAACTCCACAAAGTAAATGCTATGCACATGACTGCAGATCAAAATCTCATTAGACTATACAGACAAATCACTCTGCTGTAATGCAGTTTTGTAATAAGAACACCGCTAACACTCACATTTCCAGGATTTAGGATATAAAGAGGAAACAGGGCTTATTCCTGCCTCCCATCTGGAAGCTCTGAGAGGGCAGAGTTCCTGCGTGCCTTGGCCACCACTATATCCCCAGCACCTGGCACAGGGCCTGAAAGAGTCAGTGCCCAATAAATATGTGCTGAAGGAATGAATGAAAATAAGAGTGGGTGAATTAACACATGAAATTTTCCCAAACCAAGAGCAGAAATGGGATCTCACTCATCTTCACACCTACCATTTCCTATGTGAAGTCCTCAGGAAGCCTTTCCTGTCACCCTCTGCCCCCATCCACTGCTGGACTAGGTACCCTTGTAATGAATTATCTTGTCAGGCAGTCACTCTTCTGTGTAGCACCTACCACAATGATGATAGAGTTATTTGTGTCTGCCTCCACCATTAAATTGTAAACTCCTTTTGGGAAGGGGCTATTTGCATTGGGGGGGCTCTGTAATTCTCCCCCACCTTTTTATTTTGAAAAATCTCAAACACACATAAAAGTTAGGAAATAGTGGAATGACTGCCTATTTACTTCCAGGTGAGATACAACAATTTTTAATATTTGGGGCCATATAAACTTTCTTCAGTACCGCATTCCCAGTAAAGCTAGGTGAATATTGGAGGTTAGTTTTACCTGCTTGGAGTATCATATTACTTTTAGTGTATGGTGGTAGGGACGGCTAAGGCAGGAAGCTTCAAGAGGAATCAAAGGGTAACTGCCATGTGATAGCAAGGCCAGAGTGCAGCAGCCATCTTCTCCCCACCTGCAGGCAATTGCTCTGGGACAACTGCCCCAGGCCAACCCAGGCTAATTTTGGAGGGCAAAGCCAGTCCCTGCAGGTTCTTTCATTTGGGAGAACGACCATTACCTGGATTAGCACTGGAGAAAGCACCATGGTTCACACTGGGATTGATTCAAGCCAGAATCAATGAGACGTTCTTTCTACGGCCAGCACTTACAGTCTGGACCCCAAAATATGACACAAACAGACAGCTCAATGTAAAAACTAGCAGATACAGCTTTGGGGGTCTGCTCTGTGCCTCATTAGGTGAACTTAGATAAGCATATAACCTCTCAGAGTATATATTAATATCAGTCCCAGCCATCTCACAGGCAGGGGAGGGGGACATCCCAAAGAATTTTCTATAGTTCTCTCATTATTTCACCGTTGTCCACAACTTATCTCTTCAATCAGACTATAAACTTAAAAGTCATGAACTTTTTCTAAAAATCTCCTTTTTCTGGTATAGTTGACAAGGGCTAGCCATAGTGCTGGACATCTATCTATTCATGGACACAGTACAGAAACAGTATTTTTTTACAGAGTCCTTTGTAGTATCCATTCAAATTCAATGGACCTGTATTATGTGCACAAGAACTGAGCTTCCAAGACGCATGCATGCAATAGAAGGCCTACCCAACAACTCTACGGCCTGTTTAGTCACTAAGGATGTTAGCCACAGTGGACTTCAACTGAGTCTGGAAAAGACACCTCCCCAACACACACACACACACACACACACACACACACACACACACACACACACACCAGGGCACTACCTGCATGGCACCATGTCCCAGGGCTCATTAAAAAGAACTCCTGAGCTAACCACACTTAGGTTTATTCTCTAGTCTTCCTTCCCCAAACCCTGGAAACATGTTCCTTGGAAGAAACAAGCAGCAGCCAGATGTCCAAGGTCTCTTGAGTTAATTCCATCTTCCCTGGTGAATTACAACTTCTTGCAGACACAAAGGCGAGCAGAGACACAAATGACACATAAACAAGAGCTTCACTGCCTGGGGGGAGGGGGGCATGAAGAGTGACGTCAGTTTTCCCAGAAACCCATTTATCACGATAACAAGGTCTCAAGTGCTTAGGCTGCTCTTTCAGCTTCAGAATCTGGCGTACAATTATGCTCTTCATCATACAGTATGGCAAGACCAGTCAGAGCAAACTGGAACCATGCAAAGCAAACCAAGTGGCCCTAAACCATCCCCCTCGCCCCCATCTGCAGAACAAAGGGGATCTCTGGGCTGCCCGAACTGTGCCTGAGGTGAAATGCAACCTTCTGGAATTTTCCCCTTTGCAGCATCTGCCCTGCAGTCCTAATCCAGGCAAAAGAAACTGGTGAAAGAGTATGGACAGGTCAATGCAAATTCATTAGCTGACTAGAAAAATCATTAGTGTCATTTTTTGTTCACTAAAGATGGAGCAAGTATATTTCAGGAGAGTAGTTTCTCTACTTAAGTATGCCATCTCTAAAATGCAGGTAATGAGGAGCAGAAAAGCGCCCTGGGAGCCCTCAAAACACGAAAGCAATAAATATATGGTGCCAATCTTAGGGGAAAGAGAATTCTCTCAAATTCTATCATAACAGAGCATTGCCCCTATCCACTACTAGTCCTTCCACATCATGACCACATAGAGGGTTCGGTGCTAGGGTGTGCTGGGGTGTGCAGGGGATGGGGGAGGTTCCAAAGAAAGGTCTTGCCCTTCCAAACAGGGCAAAAGGATGGAAAAATTAATACATATCCTGTAGAGGAAATACTATCAGATCCTGGATTCAGATTTTGAAAACAAATCAATTTCAATTACACCAAATACCTAGAGGCTTTTTGTTTTTGCACTGACGCTGCATTGCATGAACTATTTCCCTAAATAAGTAAGCCACAAGGTTTAAAAACATTTTTGTGTGGTTCAGAGATTTTCATCAAATAGTATTTGATGCCATAAAATTTGGCCTACCTCTGTCTCACGCTCCTTCCTCACCTCAGGGTGCTGGTGGGTTTCCTAAAATCCCCGATACCCATGGATGAATAGAAAAGCTAGGTGTCCCTCCAAATGGAATTACCTCCCTTTGCAACCAAACTTCTGGTCTAAAAAACAAACGTGGAGCCTCAGGCCACTTCAACATGATTTCTCTGCACATCCCAGGCTGGAAAACTTCCGTTCTTTAATTTTTTTTCCCCAACAAAAAGAGAGAAAGATGGAACGGCTTTTTTTAAAGTCTCACACTTATTTTCCTGAGTCCCCATGGAAAGAAGCCAGCTCCACAGGTTTTGGCACACAAGCCCAGTTACACTGAACATGCACCCGAGACAGATCTCCAGAGGCCCGCTCAAAAACATGCCAAAATACGCAGCCAGTCACCTACAGGCCAGCCAGCTGCACCCCACGCTGACGCACAAATGGGACCCAGAGGCACACAGCGCAATCATAGAGGCATTCGGACACACACCATAGAGGTGAGCACACTCAGAGAAACAGGACGACTTATCTAGAGTCACAGACAGAACCCGGGCGCCACTGCCGCCCGCCCGGGAAGGCACGAGTGCACGCGCGTGCCCATATATGCGCACACACGAATACACACACAGACGCAGTCACATATGTAATGCATATGGAGAAACCCTACCCCAGTCAGTCACCTCCCCGCCCCCCTCATCGCTCACCACCTTCTGCCCCAGGCTAACCCCAGCCCCGCGCCCTTCTTCCTGTGCAGGCTGGAGTCCCAGCGGGCAGCCGTGCGCAGGGGCGCGGCAAGGCTAGGGTGCCAGGGACCCGGAGGGCTCGGCGGCTCGTGCGGCCATTCATTCGGCAACGCCCCAGCGGTGGGGCCGCAGCTGCAGCGAGGGAGGCGGCGGCGGCGCTCACTGCAGCCCTTGGGCAATGCAAGTTCAGCTGCCGGCCCGCAGGCTTTGCCAGGGCCCCCACCCGCGCGCTACCACGGTTCTCCGGGACAGGCTGGGGAACTGAGCCGCTGACCCCGGGAGCAGAAGTCCCGCCGTGCCTCGGCTCCTGGATGCTGCTCACTGACCTCCTCGCGGTGGTGGTGGCAGTGGCCAGGTTTCCTCGACCCTCCCCAGGCCCCCGGCCCCGGCGCTGGCACCCAAGCCTCGCACTCACCACCTGGCGAGCTATATCGGTCGCTGCCATCGCTCCTGCGTCCGCCAGGGCTGCCACGGGAGCCGCCGCAACGGGAGCTACCGCACAGGAAACAGAGGAGCTCCTCCGACAAAGAGAAAGTGTTACACTTCGGGCGCGACCAAGTCCGGTGGGGGGAGGTGCAAGGGAGGGGCCCCTCGCTGCTCCTCCAACCCCAACCCCTCCTCTATTGCCCACCCCCTCGGAAGTAGGGTATGGGGAGGGGGCGGGTTTAACGCGCCGCCTCCCCCTGCGGCGAACCCAGTTCCAGTTCTCCCTGCAACCCCAGCCGCAGGCCGCTGCGAAGGGGGGCGGGGGCTCTCCTCGGTGACCACGTCCTCTGCCCCCCCCGCCACTGGGCTCCGTGGTACGTCCCGACCTCTGCTGAATTGTCACACCCCCCTGCTCTCCCTTACATCCCTGAGTCCCCAGACCCCGGAGGCTGGAAAGGAGCCCCCGCCCCTCCCCCCTCCCGCGCTTAGCTCAGCGGCTGAGCTCTACAATCCTCCTCCCGGTCCCCTGTACCCCCTCTTCCTTGCCACCGAGATCCCAGGGTGCTTGAATGGAAGCTCCTTGGCCACTGGAGTCTCGATGCTCCAACAGTCATTCTCTACCTCCCACCCCTCAATGGCCCGGGAGCGCTGCTGAGGCCGACGGGGAGAGGCTTGCGGCCCCTGCCGCTCCAGTGAAGCTTTGAAAAGGGGCTGTTGAGGGGAGCCGCACTGCGGTCCCGCGACTGAGCTGTGGCATGTGGAGTCCGAGCCCAAAGGTCTTGAGACGCCCCTTCTACCCTGAGGTTTCCAAGCCTCGGGTGCTATGGGTTGTTATTTCTTGAAGCCAAGCTCACCACTGTTGGGTCCTTAATACAGACAGACCCCACGCCTCCCTTTTCCTACCTAGCCCCAGACGCTCAGCATGAGCAGAGGCTCAGATACCCACTCCTTCTAATGCCAGAGGAGGAGGGGCTGAGGATGAAGCTTCCCAGCCCTGTTGAGCAGGATGAAGGGGCGGGTGGAGGGGAGCAGCCTCCAGTCACTCTGTCCCGCCCCCTGATTTCCCCTTAACCCTAATTCAGACAAGGCGCCGACCGTGTGCAGAGGCAGGAATCTGCCTGCCTGCTTTTCTCTGCCTCCTGGCCAACTGCTGCCGCGGGTCCACTCCCTTGCTCTCGGCTCCTCTCCACCTCTCTCCGGCACTGAGGCTCTTCCCTCTCTCCCGGATTTAGACCCTTGCTAGCTCCCTTTAACTGGAGAACGCTGGCAGATTTGGCATGTCCAAGGCCTGAGCAGGCGGGACACTCCCTTCCACTCCTCAAAAAGGCAGGTTTCCTGTTCTCAGAGAGAGACCTGGCCCAGGAGAGGGACCTCAGATGGGGAAGGAGTGGCAGGCCTATGGGGGAAACCCAGGCCCAGGAAGGGGCCTCAGTGGGGCCCCTCAGATTCTCAAGGTGGGAGCAGTTGAGGAGGAGGAAGGAGAGAGGAAAAAAGGTCTAGGAGAAGGGGCGGAAGAGACTAGGAAATGGAGTGGCCACAAGAGGAGCTTCCCTGGCACTTGATTCCACCTGCTGGGATAGTTCTTCTCATGCTCTCAGGGAACTCTTTATGTACCCTGTGCACCTTGAGAACAAGGACTCTGCAAATGCATCACCCGTGCCAAGTGCAGGGCCTGGCATCCAAGAGGCATTCACACCAAGGGCAAAGAATTCTGGAGTGTGGGGAAAGGAGGTGGGCAGAAGAAAGAAGAGACACACTGACAGAGTAGCAGTAGGGATAGTCATGAAGAGTCAAATACTTAGGGCGTGTTTCATCCATCATTGTGCGGGAGATTCAGGTGTGGCCTAAGGACAAAAACCTAGCACAATCTGGGACCAGTACAGGGGGGTTCTGTGACAGAAAGTGCAGGCCCACAGGGCAGATGGCAGTGGTAACAAAGAGGCACAACTGGAGTCTCTGAGGCCCTCTGGAGATCTGGGGAAGGGGATGGGCCGTAACACAGGGGACCAGGACTATGTTTGAGGAGCTGCTTATAAGGCTTGGACCCCAACCGGATGGGGGCGGAGAGTCAGAGGTGACTTGCCATTTCCAGTCTGGGTGTCTCCGAGCCCAGATCCTGGTCTTTCCAGGTGCAGGCTGCGGCTTGGACGGAAAGGGCTGGAGGCCACTAGCTCTGATCTGGACTCCGGGGTTTGGGCGGTGGAGAGACATAAAGGCGCGCATTTGGAAGCCAGAGCTGAGAGCTGCTGCCAGGAGGGCAGAGCTGTAGAGGGCCGGGAGGCTGGCGGGGCAGGAATCCACCTGCTGCCCTGAGCTCTGCCCCTCCAGCCTTAGCACTCCTCGCAGACAGAAGCTCTGTACATTTTGACCCAGCGCGAGGGTCACCTTAGCACGGAATCCATGGTGTTCCTCTGGTGTGCCCCACTCGGCCTGCCTGTCCCTAGAGACTACCAAAATCTCGCTGAGGCCTCCTCCTCCAGCTTGCGACCAAGTGTGTAACTCAAGTCTCCTGCAACTCTTCGGTTTCTCCAAGACCTGCCGCCTGTAGCTGCAAGCCCCTTCTGGGGCCAGGGCCCAGGTTCTGTGGGTTGTGAATCAGTGTGAATGTTGCTCTTGATGTGTGAGTAGGTGTGCGCTGTGTCAATGTGTGTTGGTGTGCATTATCAGCGTGTGTGTACATCTGTGTGTCAATGTGTGTGTATTGGCATGTTTACTTGTGTTTGTATTTGTTGGTGTGTCAGTGTGAGCATGTTGGTGTGTTTCTGCGTGTCAGTGTGTAATTTGGGGGTTGTCGACTTGTGCCAATGTGTGTGCTTCAGTATGGGGTCTGTGTGTTAATGTGTACTGAGGTTTTAGCTCACTGTGTTCTGGGCTTTACCTCACTGAAGTGAGTCAAGGACTAAGAGGTGTGAATTGTAACGCTCATTTCAACAAAGAGGTTTGGAAATTCCCTGGGTCCATGCCTCCCAATCTTTGGTCCCCTGTCACCTTCACAGGTACAGAGAAGATGGGAGAGCTGGGGAGACAAGGGGGCTCATGAGTGGCCAGCTGGTGAGTTTTCTTCCTTGAGTGCCTGTCTCCATTGATAAGTGGGGCCAAAAGGTCCCATTATGAAGAGTTGTCTGGACTCTTGAGCACTGCCATGAACATGTATGTGTTCATATTTGATGTGTCCTCACAGGGCCCCTTGGGCCCAGCATGGTGTCTAGCAGGTGCTCAATCAATGTTGAGTGAAGGAATGAACAGAAGCATGTAAATGAGGCGTTTTCAGTATTTCCACTGTCCTTAAGGAAGTTGGAGCAGGCAGTGACTTCCCCAGGGCAAGCAGGTGACTGTCATTAGCATGCTAATGTTGTTTGTGAAGACAGACTCTGCCACATGGAAGGGGAAATGGCTACCCTTGCCGGATAGGAGTGGGCCCTAATTGGAGCCAAGCTTTAGAAAGGTCACCCTGACTGCTGGTGGGGGTAATACTGGATAGGGGAGGAGCGAGGGGAGCTGGGAGGAAGAAAAGGGCAGTGAAATGGAACTAAGAGCTCAGGAAAGGGCTTTGTACTGAAAGGTCTTTGTGGAAGGAGAATGAGGACAGTGGAGTTGGGCTTAAGTGGAGAAGCCCTGAAAACAATCTGAAAAGGCGAAGGAAGCCGGGCTCGGTGGCTCAGCCTGTAATCTCACGCCTTTGGGAGGCAGAGGTGAGTGGATTGCCTGAGCCTGCGGGTTCGAGACCCGCCTGGGCAGCGACAGAGTGAGACTCCAACTCAAAAAAAAAAAAAGAAAGAAAGAAAAGCGAAGGAAGCCGGGCTCGGTGGCTCAGCCTGTAATCCCGCGCTTTGGGAGGCTGAGGTGAGTGGATTGCCTGAGCCCGCAGGCTCGAGACACGCCTGGGCAACTTGGCCAGCCCTCATCTCTACAATAAATCAAAAAAATTAGCTGGGCACGGTAGCATCTGCCTGTACTTCCGGCTACTTGGAAGTCTGAGGTGGAAGGATCGCCGGAGCCCAGTAGGTCGAGGCTGCGGTGGCTGGGAGCGGCCGGCCACTGCACTGCAGTCTGGGTGACAGAGTGAGACTCCAACTCAAAAAAAAGAAAGGCAAAGGAGAGGAAACGTGATCTGGGATTAGCCAAATCCAGATAGTGCCAATTGAACCAGAAACTCAAGGAAGAGGTTGATCAAGATGCACTAAGGATTCCTTTCAGCATTCCAGCATTATCACCTGCTGCCCCTGGTTTTGAATTAGTTTATTCCAGTGGTCTTTGCCTAGCAGCATAAGCATCATCTGAGAAGTTATTAAAAAATGCAAATTCGGCCAGGCTTGGTGGCTCAGCCTGTAATCCCGCGTCTTTGGGAGACTGAGGTGAGTGGATTGCCTGAGCCCGCAGGTTCGAGACCCGCCTGGGCAGCGAGACCTCATCTCTACAATAAATCAAAATGAGCCGGGCGTGGCAGCGTGCGCCTGTATTTCCGGCTACTCGGAAGGCTGAGGCGGAAGGATCGCCAGAGCCCAGCAGGTCGAGGCTGCGGTGGCCGGGAGCGGCCACTGCACTCCAGTCTGGGTGACAGAGTAAGACTCCAACTCAAAAAAAAAAATGCAAATTCTTAGCCCCCACCCCAGGCCTACTGAATCAGAACCTCTAGGACTGAGACCCAGCAATCTATGTTTTAACAAATCCTCCAGGGGATTCCAACTTATGCTAAAGTTTCAGGACCACTGGTTTATCTGAAATCTAGCCCAGGTAGGATGGGACACAGGACTGGTAAGGTTTGGTATAATATAGAGGGAAGGCCGGGTGTAGTGGCTCATGCCTATTATCCCAGCACTTTGGGAGGCCAAGTTGAGAGTATTGCCTGCGCCCCATGGGTTCGAGACCAGCCTGGGCAACTTGGCGAGACCTCGTCTCTACAATAAATCAAGAAAAATTAACAGGGTATGATGGCGTATGCCTATAGTTCCAGCTACTTGGAAGGCTGAGGCAGAAGGATCACCTGAGCCCAGCAGGTCGATGCTGCAGTGGCCATCAGTGTGCCACTGTCCCCAGCCTGGGTGACAGAGTGAGACTCCAACCCCCCCCAAAAAAAAGAACATAGAGGGAAAAGTCTGAAGCTTAGATCATTGCCACTAATGGCAGATCTTGATGGATTTCTACAATGGGTAGCATAAGGGTATGGAGTGCCCAGGATTGGGGAAAAGGTGCCCCAAAAAGTAGTAGAGGGAATCCCTGTGGGGAGCTAGAAGAGTTCTAAAGAAACACTTTATATATTTTGCAATTTTACATTAATTCCACAAATATTTACTGGATTCCAACTGCACATCAGCAACTGTGCTAAGTGCCAG